ACCACAGGAGCTTCCCTCCATCCCAGCCCGCATCCCCCCACCATGTCCCCACTCACCGGCTTCCCCTCGGGGCCGGCCAGCCCTCTCTCACCCGGGAGACCCTGGAGCAAGAGATGGGCATGGGGTCAGTGCCAGGCAGGGGCCCAGGGTCAGCGCCAGGCGGGGGGAACGGTGCGGTACTCACTGGGGCGCCATCCCTGCCCTTCTCGCCGGGCTCCCCTCGCTCGCCCCGTGGGCCACCCTCACCCTGCAGCAGGGACAGGTGCAGGGTCATGGGACAGGCAGGGACCTTCCCGTCCCTGCCCAGGGCCTGCTGACACCCAAAGAGGGGTGCCTGCAGCAGTGCCCCCGCCCGGGGCTTTGCTCCATGGGGCTGCCCCGTTGGCAATGGGAGACTTACGACCGCAGACCTTATCTCCTTTGGATCCCCGCTCGCCCTCAGCTCCTGGCTCGCCCTGCGTCGGGGAGAAGACAGATGCCATCGGTCCCCACTGTTCCCCTGGGGGTGCCTGCCCTGCCACCATCCTCAGTCCCAGCCCAGCTCATCACGTTGTCCCCGGCTCGGTCGCCTTGGCTGCCCCACTCCTTTCTGCCCAGCCACACACCTTTGCTCCCTTGGGTCCAGCAGGGCCACGCTCGCCCGGGAAGCCCATCAGGCTGCCCTCCACCACATCTGCCTGCAGGCAAAGCACAGTCAGGGCCAGCACCCAGGGGACCCCAGGTGCAGGATGGCACCCCCTGGGGACAGTCCCCAGCAGCAGCCACCACCTACCTTGGGCCCCGGGGGCCCTGGGGGGCCAGGCAAGCCATCCCTGCCCTAGTGTGGGACAAAAATAAGTTCAGCATCAAAGGGACACCAGGGCACAGGGGAACAGAGCCACTATGATACGGCCGCTCCTGGCCCCCATAGGGCATCCCCCTGCCCCCCAGAGAGCCCCCCTGTCCCCCCAAGAGGTGCACGGCACAGGGGGGACAGAGGGGACCGTGTCCCTGTCCTGGCTCACCTGCTCACCCCGGTCGCCCTTCTCGCCTCGGTCGCCCTGGGAAAACAACATGGTGGCCGTCACAGGGCTGTCCCCAAGCCCCTGGATCAAGTCCCCGAGCCCTTGCCCCATGCCTCCGTGCACACTCACCTTCTCGCCAGCCCGCCCAGCTTCCCCCAGCTCCCCGGCCCGGCCCGGCACCCCGGGGATGCCCGGCTTGCCAGGCTCCCCCGGCTGCCCGGGCGGCCCCTCGGGACCCCGCTCGCCCACGGCACGGCCCATGGGGCCCTGGGGGCCGGGGGCACCTGGGTCTCCCTTGTCACCTTTGGGTCCTCGCTCGCCAGGGAAGCCTAAGGAACCCTGCAAAATATCACACCATGCTGCCAGAACCAGCCCTGTGCCGGGGCTGTCGGGTCCCCCGAGCACGCCAGGGCTGAGCCGGCTGTGTGGCCCCAACAGCCAGCCTGGGTAAGGGGGAGCGGGGCAGCGTGTTTGGGCACGGCATCGAGCCCAGCTCCGCTCACCTCTCGGCCTGGAGGCCCCCTCTCTCCCGGCTCCCCCCGGCTGCCCTTCTGGCCCCGCAGCCGCTCCGACACCGGCAGAAATGAGTCCGAGCTCCCATCGTAGGCACCCGTGAGCTCCTTCAGGGATGAAACCTGGGAGGGACGAAAGAGCCACCGGTCAGGGGGCCACTGCAACCCAGCCATGGCAGCACCCCACAGCCCCACCAACCCGCCCCGGGTCACTTGGGTCTCCCACCACCTCCTGTGTCCCCCTCCTGCTGCTGCGTGGCAGGAACAGCCCCCAGCTTGACAGCCGGGGACTACGTACCTTGATGCCAAGCGCTTCCAGGCTACGTTCAATGTTCTGCAAAAAAAGACAATAAAACCAAAGCGGGTGTTGGCTTGCTCCCACCATGGGGGCTGTGGAGGATCCTCCATCCCCCGGGGCTGACGTCCCAGCCCAGCAGCTCAGCAGGGACTCACCACTGCAGTCCCGGGGTCTCCGCGTGTTCCAGGGTTGCCAGGTCGTCCCTAGGTTTGCAGAGAGAGAGGGAATGCAAAGCTGTACAGAGGTGCGGTGGGTGAGGTGAGCAGTGCTGATGCTGCCCTCAGTAGGTTTCAGAGTTAACACTGCTGGTGCTGCCTGGGCAGGGGTTGCGGTTGCCACCACCACGGGGTGCTCGCAGCTTGGCAGGCTCGGTGCTGGGTACTCACCGGCTCCCCTCGCAGTCCGGGCTCCCCTGGGTCCCCCTGAAACACAGCAAAGGCGTCGGGGGGGCAGAGCCAGGCTGCCCGGCCCCAACTCCTGTGCCAGGGTTCAGCCCTGCCAGCCTAGGGGCAGGGAGTCCCACCAAGGATTCATCCCCCCTGGCACGGGGTCCCCCAGACCTTTGCCTTGGGGGGCTCGGGGACAGGAGCACACCTACCTTCGGTCCAGCCACCCCACGGAGGCCCGGCAAGCCCTGGAAGATGCAGAGGGGACACAATGGCACCCGGCACCCACAGACACGGGGCAGTGCCCCAAGAGAGCCGTGGGCAGGGGTCCTGTCTGCCCCACGGCTGCCTGGACTCCAGGGTCCAGTGCTGGGTGGCACCGTGGGCTCGAGGACTACGCACCTGGCCTGGGGGACCGACCTGCCCCGGGACACCAGGGAGGCCGGGGGGGCCGAGGGGACCTGGCACACCTCTGTCCCCCTGCTCGCCCTTGGCACCACTGTGGCCCTGCCGAGAGAGCAGCGTCAGCCCCAGGACCTGGGTGCCCAGGCCGGTACCCAGTAGGGGCATGTACCCACCCCCCCCACCACGCTGCCCTGCGGGGAGGTACTCACATCTCTGCCAGGGGGTCCCGCGTCACCTTTGTCTCCCTAACCAGGAGGGAAAGGAGTTAGAGGGATGCTGCCCCAAAACGATGCTCCTGGACCCGGACGGGGAGAAGCCGCCGGGTGTGTGGTGACTGTGCAGAGACCGCAGAGGGAGCACCCAGGACTCGGCTCCTTACCTTCCTCCCGTTCTCTCCCGGTGTCCCGTCTTCTCCCTGGGGACACAGGCTGCCAGTCAGCACCCGGCTCGACTGGCTCCGCCACCCCCCGGGCGGGGGCCACACAGGATGGGGACAGGCACCAGGGGCACAGGCACCCGGCTCGACTGGCTCGGCTACCGCTGGCATGGGCACCACACAGGATGGGGACAGGCACCAGGGGCACAGCTCAGAGCACAGGGGCCCTGTGCCGCATGCCCCCCTAGCCTTTATCTTGGACTGGGATTGCCGGCCCTCGGGACCCCTGGGCGAGCCCCGAAGCCAAGCCCCGCTCCCCTTACTCACATTCTTGCCGCTGAGGCCGGGTTTGCCATCGTCACCGGGTTTGCCCTGGGAGGAAGCAGAGGTGGTGAGAGAGCCCCCGGTGCTTCCCCCGGCACCAGCAGCTGGGGGTCCCCAGGCCCCACCACGGCCCCAATGCACAGCGGGAAGCTGGGCATGGGGCGAGCAGATGGAGCCGGCTGGCATTGACTGCAGAGGGCACGGGGCGGGATGTGTCCCCAGGGCACAGGGTGGCCAGTACTTACAGGGATGCCGGGTGGTCCCAGGGGGCCCATGGAGCCAGGCAGTCCCTGCTCCCCACGCAGCCCGGGCAGCCCCTGCGGGGAAAGGAGATGGGGGAGCACAGGGCAGCAGGGTGCTGCCTCCCCCAGCCGGCTCTGGGAGGAGGGAGCGTGGCCAGGACGGTGGCACCCTGCCAGGGACAGGGAACAGTCCCGCCGCACTACCCAGCACAGGACAGGACATCGGTCCATTGCAAGCGCAGTGGCCCCAGTGGGAGCACAACCCAACGCGCCCTCCCCGGAGGTACTTACGTCCCGGCCAGGGTCCCCCTGCTTCCCTGGGTCCCCCTGCAGACAAGGAGGAGGTGAGGGCAGGGACACCCCCGTCCTGCCACGGGGGCCCCAGGAGCATCCCCAGCCTGGAGCTGAGGGTGCCCAGGGCGGGGCGGCTCCTCCTGCCCCATTGCCCCTCCATCCTGCAGCCCCCACCCATGGTGCCCAGGGGCGGCCATGCCCCCCACCCCAGACCACGCTCACCCGCAGCCCGGCGGGGCCCGGGGGCCCGGGTTTGCCTTCCAGCCCGTTGCGACCATCCAGCCCCGGTGGGCCACGGTCCCCCTGTAAGAGAGCAGGGCAGGAGGGCTGAAGCTGTGGGGCAGGATGGATGGTGCTGGGCAGCCCCCAGCCCCCAGCCCCCTCACCTTCTCTCCTGGCAGGCCTCGGTCCCCAGGGTCACCCTGCGTGGTGGGAAGAGGCATGAGCATCGTCGCCCCTGAATGGGAGCCAAGCAGGGTGTGGACCCCCTGCTCAGCCCCCCATGGGGAAGGGGGCACTCACCCGCGCACCGGGGGGGCCGCGGGGGCCCTCCACGCCCTGCAAGAGAGAGACACGCTCAGCAGTGGGGCATGGGGGGAAAGGAGGGGGTCCTGGGTGGTCACCCACCATCCCCTGCCCAACAGGACCCTCGGCTCTCCCGCAGAACATTGACCATTTTGCTGTCCTGCCACCTCCCGCACCAGAGACCCGGCACCTACCCTCTCTCCGGGCAGGCCGGGGGAGCCGGCGTCGCCCCGGGCGCCCTTTGCACCATCCTCGCCGGGGTCCCCAGGGTCCCCCTGCCAGCGAAGGCCAGAGGTTAGAGGGTACTGCCCTGCTGCCAGCGCAAACACCTGTGCAAAGCCCGTGCTGAGCACCTCTACTTGTGCTGCGTGGTTTAAGAGTGGGATAATAGCAAAGGTCTGAAAATATGGGCACGGGCTGAAAAAAGCCAGCCCAGCCAGGGGGAAGGCACCAGCCATGGCCAGGGAGCAAGCCACCCTCCAGCACCCCACAGAGCACAGCCTGCAGCCAAAACTGCCCCAAGCAGAGCACCCAGAGCATGGGGTACTGGTGTGGGATCCCTGCGGGGCTGGGGAGCCACGAGCACGCTGGCACCTTCGAGGACCTCAGCTCTACAGGGACCTTTTGCCCCATCACCCTCCTCCCAGCACCACGCAGAAGCGTGAGCCCACCTGCCTCGGGATTGCATGTGCCCCCTGATGCCATGTGCCCCCCACATCCCACGTGCCCCCCGCATCCCATGCGTCTCTCAGCCACAGTGCACATCAGCTCCATGTGGCAGGAGCTGTTTTGGGCAGGGAGGGCTTGGTGCACCGGGACCCCAGCACGCAGCCAGAGCCCGGTGGGGGGACAGCACCCCGCTGCCAGCATCCCAGGGGACCCACTCGTTACCTTCTCGCCCTTCTCCCCCACTCCTCCAAGCCCCACGTCGACCTGTGGGGCAGAGAGGGGCCATCAGAGCGCATAGGGCTGGGCACCGGCCTGTGGGCAGGGAGAGGGGTGGGAGCAGAGCTTACGGTTCGTCCTGGGGGTCCGGGAAGCCCCTGAAAGAAGGGTGAGGGAAGCGGGTTAAGGGGAGCTGGCACAGCCCGGGGAGGGCAGGGCTGGCTCCGGGGCGGGGGCCAAGTGGGTGGCCCCGTGCCCCCCCAACACCAGTGTCACTCACCGGCTCCCCACGGTCACCCTTGCTCCCTGGTGCTCCGGGGCTGCCCTGCGGGAGAGGGGAGGAGGGGACAGGGGACCCATGGGGCGGTGCGTCCCACGGGGTGGAGGGTACCCATGGGGTAGCGGTGGGTGCAGGGCAATGGTGTTCATGGGGTGGTGGGTGCACATGAAGTGGTACTCACATTCCTGCCTTCGGGACCTGGGTCCCCTGAGTCGCCCTTCTCCCCAGGGGGGCCGCGGTAGCCGGGGAGGCCCTGGGTGGGTGCGGAGATAGGGTGTGCGTTAGTGGGAGCCACCCTGAGGCTGTTGGGCATCTCGCCCGCCCCAGGGTGCTTGCCAGCCCCGCACTTACCCGGGGGCCCCTGTCTCCGGGTTTGCCAGGCAGACCTGCTTCACCCTGCAGAGAGAGAGGGGGTGAGTGGGGGGCAGTGGGGAGGGGGGCAGTGGTCCCAGCTGGTCCTCACTTACCGGGGTGCCTTCATCACCCTTCTCTCCACGCTCTCCCTGCGGCACAGGTCAGTG